GCCTGTTTGTCTCCACACTGGCACACAAGCTCTGCCCCTTCGTTCTGCTGTAATTAAGGAAGTTCTTTGCAGTGAGCTGGGCTGCTTGTCTGTGTCCAGGTCCTGCTCCCTGTAAGTTCACAGCTTTACTATCCCATGGAACTTGACATTTATTTCAGTTTAAGCTACTAAAGGAGCACCTGATTCATGATCCCTGTGAGATTTAGCTGTAGCAGTAAGTGAGGATCTACAGTTTAGTGTTCTGCTTCTGTGTAGATACTAAATTGTTTGAAAAAATATTTAGTTTTGAAAAATAAGCATTGGGTTGTTTTTTTCTTTTTCTTATATGAACATTAGGCTCATGGAAATATTATTTTTTCCATTAAATCAATTATTGTTTGATTATTTTTAGGCGTTTTTAGGGGAAATCCTGCACAAGTAAAGGAATATCAGGATCTCCTGGACCCTTTGCTTCAACATACACCTGAAGGTATTATCTGGAAATCATCCTTCTGAACACTTGTAGCTTTTTATCCATCTGAAATAATTAAAAAACTGACTTCCCTATTAATGTATATTGTGGTCAGAGCAAAGGAGAAGTAATAATATCAATGTTTCTCCATGGCATAATACTCATATTAAAATAATCTCTTTTATGTAGATACATTGCATCATAAAGTGTGATAACAAAAGTAACATTGTGTGGAAAAATGCTGCTGATACTGATACAAGATTTATGCTGTACCCACTCATTCCTCCCCTGCTTTGTTGTTTACAATTTACATTGTTCACTCAGACTTTCCTGGCAAATAGTAACTGCCAACAGTTAGATTGTTTCAGTGTTCCACCTGGATACAGTTGAGAATTGCTCTCGCCTTTCACTGTCACCTAATTTCACAAGATTTAAAAAATAATTTACTATATGCTTATGAAATTGTTTCTAGCTTAGAGCAGGAAAAGTGGCAACATTTCTAATATAAATGTTCTCTCTTACCTAAATTGTGCACTCCGGAATTTCTGTGGCACTGCAGACAAGCCTGTTGATGGCCTACAGGCACATCCATCCAAAATTCAGTTAAAAAAAAGGAAAAGACCATAACTTTGAGTGGGAGGAAAAGAAATGGCCGGAGAACAGAACAAGCTTGAATGTACTGACAATCCAATTTTAAAACTCAGCATTTTAGTCACCTGTTCTTACATCTGGGATACAGTTACACAAGTGGATGTAGAATATTTTAGTCTGACTTGTTCTTTAAACTTGTTGAAGTGAACTGGTTTCTGTAAAAAAAACAAACATTTCCTTACCAAGTTTTCATTATGTAGCAAATTTTCTGACCTTGCTAGTCCTTACTTTTCTCTGGTTATTAATGAATATGTGAAGTTTTGTGGACGTTAAATTAATCTTGTGGTTCCTTTTGTTGAATGTCATCGCAAATACCACATCTTAAACTTTCAGAGTGTGTCTTGATACCTCATTCACTTGAATATTCTATCTCTAATAACTCTTGGTTTTCCATTTTTTTCGCTGCTTCTTGCCAGCAATTTTTTTTCTTAGCAAGTAGTCAGACACTGCAGCTTTATTCTGTTTATCAGCAGTTCTTTATCCAAATAAATTGAAAACTAAAGCAATACAAAAGTAAAACTTAGTTTTGCAGGAAGCATATTAATTTGCATTTCTATTTCATATAATTGGGTCAATCATTTGTCATTATATTTCTAAATGACTGATGCATATCCACTTAAAAAGTGTTGAAGTAAAGGGTATTGACCTACAATGATCAACAACACCTGTGGCATAATTCTAGATAGAAGATATGTTATCTTCCAGTGAAGAAGTTATACCATTTTGATTCATTATGCTTCAAAATTCAAGTGCTATTTTTAGCATTTAATTAATAAAAGTATGTATTTTTGACCAGGATTTTAGTTTTAAAAAGTTACCTGATACAGAGCCTGTGTTAAATGTGGGACAAAACCCCCCAAGTGTTTCACTGTGACCCAGCTTTCATTGCTTTTGGGTATGGTTTGTTACCTGGACTGCATTTTGCTTTAGGTGAATTGTTTTATTTTCATTTTGCACAGTAAGATGCTACACAGACAACATGTGTGTTCTGGGAAGAAATTCTGAGGAAAAGTTTGGTGAAATATGGAGTAGTTTCATATTGCCCTGGGTTTCCATCTCTGCTTGTGGTTTTGACTGACAATAATGAATGACATCCATCTCTGTTCAATCCAGTCATTACTAGGGTGTAATTTTTCCTATTTTGGATCTACTTCAGCTTTACTGGGGGACTCCAAAAAAAAAAAAGAGGGAAGTGATTTCTCACTTGCTGTTTTTTTCAAAACTCCCAGGGTGGTTTCCATCTCTGCTTGTGGTTTTGACTGACAATAATGAATGACATCCATCTCTGTTCAATCCAGTCATTACTAGGGTGTAATTTTTCCTATTTTGGATCTACTTCAGCTTTACTGGGGGACTCCAAAAAAAAAAAAGAGGGAAGTGATTTCTCACTTGCTGTTTTTTTCAAAACTCCCAGGGTGTCCTGTTGTGCCCAAGTATTACTACGTGCCAGCTGATTTTGTTGAAATGGAGAAGAGGAGCCCTGGCAGCCAGAGACGGTTTCCCAGTAACAATGGTCGGGATGGAAAGCTGTTCCTGTGGGGGCAGGCCATGTACATCATTGCCAAACTCCTGGGTAAGAGGCTGAGCAGGTTCTGTCAGCTTTGGACTGTGTCTTGATCATGTTTTTCTTGAATCTGAACCAAAACATTGGCTTGAGTTTTGAATGGACTGTGAGTGGCGTGTGTGTCCTTTGCTTTGGTACTTACGTGAGAGACAAAAATTGCTTTTTAAAAGTATTTTCATTTTTATGCTGCATGCAATATACTGTGAAGTTCAGTGGAATGTTTCATAGAGTACTGAAAATCTTTTAAAAGTGTTAGATCTATTTTTTTGCTGTTTCTTTTCCTGGCTTTCCCTCTTCTTTCCTTTTCTTCATGACAAAATGTGATGCTTTCTGGGTTAACTATATCAGCTGCACCTGTACAATGATATTTGTAAGTGATTTATAGCATTTAATTCAAATTATTTTCTGCTTTAAGCAAGAAAAGTTTAAACTTTGAATAGTTGCAGTCTCAGAAAAAGCTAATAATTTATTCAGTCTGTGTTATTTTTAACCTTTAAAATGTACATTCAATTGCTCATCTAGTTTCTTTTTTAAAGTTTGACCATTGAAGATTGTTACGGTGAATTTCAGTCACAGATGAACTCTTGGTCTCACTTGAAATGATTTTATTAAAGGCTAATGCAAAAAGAGTGGTTAAGCCAGAAAAATCTTCACAGTTGTTTTTTGTCTCAATATTCCTCTTAGGAGCAAGATATATCAGTTTATTTTAACATGATCAGCATTTACCTGGTAATCAGTAGATTGAGTTCTGGAAGCTTTTTTCTGTGAACACTGTAAAGGCAAACAGGCTGTTGGTAATAAAAATGAGAAACACTGAGGGGGAGTTTAAAAATTCGAGGCTTGGTGAGAACAGTGGGTGTATCTTTAGGTATGGAGGGACAGGGTCTGTCTGGTGCTCCCACCTGTTTGCCTTCACTGTATTTCTTCCATAATTCCTTTTTCAACCAGTGCTTTAAAGTAAAGGCAGACAAAGTCATTGTTAATTTAAAAAATGAATTTAACCTCTAAGAATACGAGCCAAGTAATCCTCAAGTGTGTGTATAGCAATACTGTATTAATTCTGCTAGTGTTGGTCTTGTACTAATATTTGTGTTTTTCTGTACTGCAGAATGCTGGTTAAATAAATTGCATTTATAGTTTGCTAAATTTGTTTTGTGTAACATAACATTCTTGTGTTTCAGTTTCTTGCTGAGCATTCTTACTGCTTTTTTTAAAAATAGTTGTGCTAAATCTCTTTTTGAAATGTTGTCATTAGTAGCTGTTTATTGTTTTAAAACTTTATCTCCCCTGTATTCACTACTTTCATTCATCCTCTATGTTTTCCAAATATGCAAAATTTCAAAACTTTTCTTTCCTTTTCTCTCACAGTCCCTGCAAACAGAGTTCTGGAGATACCATTGCAAAGTCTATTCACTGGTGGTTGTTGTATCAGGAACTCCATTTATTCATACTAATTTATAACTGGTGCATTCCATTTTGCTCCTTTCTGCATGAAAACCTCCCTGAATAACAATCTCGTGCTTGGTGAAAGTGTTACTTTGCTTGTTGGTGGTTGCTAATTAAGTGGCAGCCTGGCTCCAAATACATTGCTGTCTGGGAAGGTGCTGTTCTCCCATTTCATCATCCATTCAGGATGGTTGTGTTGCCTCAAGGGTAGCAATTAATTTGTATTTGTTCAGCCTCCTTGCTCCCGCTGGGTAGGCCAGCACACCTTTTAGATTCCTCTGCTGTCTCTGGGTCTGGGCTCTGCCTCTTGCACTCCAGACTTCTCTAAATGCAGCAACATGAGCTGAGTCAATTCTTACACATCTCTCTGCCTCCCACAGAGGGGCAAACAGAAGTAGGGAGGTCAAAATTTGGGTCCTGCTTATAAACACTCTGAGTAACAGGCAATGAAAGTGTCTGTGTGTCAGGTGCCTATTGGAGGGCATCACATGTTTATGCAACTGAAAAATTGTTTATAAAGAAAAAAGCATTTGCTGTGCTGTTTTTCATACAATTTTCTCCTTATGTTGGATGAGGAAATTTGTAAAACCTTTATGATAAGGTTCCCATTTTGAAGCAAGAGACAGGAATGCCAGGTATTCAGCTTTTTCATGCAGCTCAAAATTCACTCAGTCTTTCATTTAGTAGCTCTCTTACCTTTCCTTTGCTTTTTCTTATAATTTTTATATCTTGTTTTGTGGATTCAGTGCTGCCTAGAACTAGGTTAAGAGTCTTAGTTTTAATAAGGTTTTTTGATATTTCTTAGAGTGTAATGGATTAAATGGATTAAATGTTGTCAGCTGCTGCTGATGCAGATAGTGAGCTAACAAAGAAATCTCTGCTTTTGCATTCTAATACACTTGTATTTGTAATAATAGTGATGAATATTCACTGAGATTCTATTTTAAATAAAATTGTAAATATTGAAAGTTATATTTTATAACAGTCTATTGGTATAGTTCTTTTAAATATTAAATTATTCTGACCTTATGTTTTAATTACTAAGCAATGTAAATCAATGTAAAAAGCAGTGGGAATAGAACATGTATCCTGGAAACCGCTCTTGCTTTTAAGAACTGAGGCAGAGCCCATTGATCTTGAAATCGTTTGGTTAATCAATTTTATTGCATCACATAAATCGAGTAACTTCCGTTCCTTTAGCCAGCATCAGAATTCTGTGTGGACTGGAGGTGAAGTGACTGATTTCCTTAAACGTGACCTGGTAACTCCTGTGTCAGTGTATAAATGATTTATCCAGAGCGATTTTTTTACATTCTAGCTTTGCTGTTTTTGTTTCTGTGGATCGTGACCCTGCAGGAGCAGAGCAAAGGAAGGGGCTCCTTTCCTGGCAGGAGTCCAGCCCTGTTGTCCCAGCAGAAGGCTGAGGACAGGGCAGTGTGCAGTGGCTGGCAGAGCTCCTGGCACCAGCATCTCCAGCACAGCTTCCTCGGTGAACTGCCCAGCCAGGGCCCTTCAGTGCTACCTGAGCATCTTCTTTCCACTGCACCATCAGTTCTCTTCTTTCCTAACACTTCTGAGCTTCAGCAAGGACATATTTTGAGTTTCTAAACTGTTGTCTTCATTTACTACATAGTGGAATGTTCAGAAACATTCTTGTCGAGGCAGTGCTGGTTTTCTCTTGCAGCTGAATGGAGTCATGAGTCACTTCGTTTTTAGATTAATAGCTTGTTCCCCAGAGTGGAGGCTTTTAAGAATAGGTACGAAATTGTTGACTTCTGTATAGAAGAAATGAAAATGCATTGTGGCCTACTCTGTAGCAGAAATTAAATAAGGTTTGGAGAGTTTCGTGGCAAAATGCAATTGTGGTAGAATGCTTATTTGAAGGGTATAGTGGCTCATAGTAGATTATGAACCTTTATTCAAGGATTTCGTTGAAACTTTTATTGGAATACTTAATTTTTTTTCAGGAGAAGATGAAAAATAATGCATTTTTAGGTGGTTTTTTTTTCCTCCCATGTAAAAAACTCCATGTGGAAATGGCTTGATTTCAAATAAATTTAATTAGGTTTTTTTCCAATATCTAATTCTTAGTTTTGCAGAATATCCTTTTGATCTGTGAGTCGTTGATCCAAAACAAGGGTTGTAGCAGCAGAACCAACTCCATCAAATAAGTTAGCATGCCTCCTTCACAAAAGCTGCTGAAAGTACTCAAGTCACTCTATATTTTTATTATCACTTACTTTCAGCTGACAAATTAGTGAGTCCTAAGGATCTGGACCCTATTGGACGCTACGTGGCTCCCCAGGACCAGCGGAATGTGAGCATGAGATTTTCAAACCAGGTAAGCACAGGCTTAGTTTTAAAATATTTTCACTGAAAAATTGTCATCTACATGTTATATATGGTCTTCTAATATTACAGTTAAAGTGTAAGGAAAATATTAAGTGTGTACGCATTTTCTGAGTTGATGGAGGATTACTTTTAAAAGGAAGATTTAAAACATCTGCAGTTCTGGGGAAGTGATGCACATTTGCCTTCAGATTAATCAGTGCAGTCAAAATGATACAGAAAATGTAAGTTTAAATAGTTGCTAATAGATAGGTATGTTTCTTTGAGTTATAAGTTATGTCAGGAATACAAAAACATTTTTTTTATTCCTCCGAAACAATTTCAATGTATTAATACTTTTTTGTATTTAGAGCTCCTAAGATCTCCAGGGATGAGGTTCTTTTTTTGTGTGTGGTTGAGACACCACGCCTGGAGGTATTTCAGACACATGCAGATGTGGCACTTAGGGCCAGGGTTCAGTGCTGGGCTTGGCAACGCTGGGTTAGCAGTTGGACTTAGTGATTGGAAAGGTCCTTTCCAGCCTTAATGATTCTGTGATTCCATGTTCTCCTGGATTTGGATTAAATGCACAGCAGGAATGAGTGAACAAAAAGGGAATGCTTGAGAAGGTGGTCTGTGTGTAGGGGACTTCCTTTATTAACGAGGTGAGAACTTGTATGTATGGAACCTAAAAGATGTGTTTCAGCTGTTTTGTTTCCTCATATAAGGAATATATATTTAAGAAGTCCCTTGTTCAGCATTGTGAATTTGTTACTGAAGCATAAAAGATTAAGTATTTCAGAACTGAACCATGTTTTTCTTGTTCTATCCAAATTCTACTTCAGTGAGGAGGACTCTTTAGAACTGAATTCCTTAGAATAGCTTATTTTATTACTCCTTTTTGCCGTCTCTGTATTCAGGAGAGACTATAACACAGTTTTGGTTGTTGCATTCTGTTTGGGGGAATGTAGTGTAGGAGGAGGCCTGGATGGTAATAACATTTGAGAAATGAGGTAGGATGGGGATTTTCTGGATTTGTTTTGCATTTTACTGGCACATGTGAAAGCTGATTTATTGCTGTCTTATGTTTAATTTCATATTTAACAAAAAATCACCTCACTAAATTACCAAAGTAAGACTAATTTATCTGCTGGCTTATGTTGAAATATGTGTTTAGGGTTACAATTAATTAATTGTATTCTTTAAGTGTTTTGCTATGTAGACTTGTCAGTCATTTGTGAGGACTTCAGTTACTGGGAATTAAGGTTAATAACTATTGATGAAGAGAATTGGGAAAAGAATAGTTAAAATAATAGATTGCTTGGTTTTTTTTTTTATTTTCAGGGAAATAGATAATTTGTAAAGAAGGAACTAAAATGATTTATTGGAGGTAGACTGAGATATTTTAAAATTTTCCTGCTACCCGAGTTATGTTTAGGGTTGGAACGTGTCTAATTTGGATGCTGTAGAGATATGGACCATATTGGATGATTTGTTTTGTCATGTTAATTATAAACATATTCGTGCCTTCATGCCCGTTAATACAATTGTCTATCACAGCTAACACAATTCTAAACTTGTCAAATGTGTTTTGGAATTTGAGGCACGTGTGTGTGCGGGCTGGGTTTCATTTACCGAGCCTGGTGTGTCAGTAGCAGTGGCCCCCCCCAGCAGGGCGCAGCTGCTGCCAGGAGCAGCACGGATGTGCTCGGTGGCAGTCAGGCTGTAGGTCAGTGGCAGCAAGGTGGGTCGTTCGGGTCAAGTACAGTGTCTGCTGTTTTGGGCTATTTCTGTTTGCCTCCCCTTGCTCCGTGTGCTTGGAAAGCCCAGTAGGTGTGATTTCCATCGGTGTTCTTGGATATTGTTCCCACTTTCTCACATGCTCAGAATGAATGGATTTTTGTCAGAGTTCTGAGGCTTCCTGGCAGTGTAAGCAGAGAGGCACATGGTGATAACATCTGTCCAGTGAGAGTGCAGCAAGAGACTGGTACTGAGCTGCTTTCTCTGCTGGTGCCAGGGACAAAGTCAAGGATTTTTCCCTTTATCCTACCTCTAATGGTTTATAACCTTGTTTAAAACTATGATTTTTATTTTTTTTTATTATTATTCTCCTTTTTGGAAAGGAAAAACAACTAATCAATATTTTATTTTGGCCTTCTGAGGTATATTTATCATCCACACAGCATGCAGAATATAGTTGGAAACAGCCCCTTCTGCCCACTCTCCACTGTGGAAATGGAAGGCAGAAGGTTGAGCCTGGGCAGGGGGGGCCTGTTTTTGTGCCCTGGGAAGATGGTGATTGATGTTGTGTGAAAAATACCTCAGCTTTATTAGACAAATGTGAAAGCCAACACATTAAAATGGAATTTTTAACAACAACAGGATTTATTCAGTGAAATATTTAGGAGTTTAATGTTTTTCCACATCTCTTTAAAAAAAAAAATACAGCAAATGTTATATAGAACAATCGCTATTGAAAAGGGTGACACAGTTTTTTGAGTGTTGTATCAGTTATGTTGATCTGTGTTTCTCTTGGTCACTACTTGTCATTCTTCAGGCTGTTAACATGTGACAGTGAAAGTAATGTTACATGTTTAGTGTTATAGCAGTCCTGCAGTTGCACAGCAATTGCAGTTAAAATTTACCACAGTACTTTTAAAGGTCTAGCAGGTTTTCACACAGATTTTGTGTTGTGCTAGTTGTGCTGCAAATACAGTTTGCACAGTTCTGGGTGGTGTTAGAACCACCACTTACTTACTGACTGCTCTAAATGAATCATGTCCTTGGGCACGACTGTGTGTGAGAGGAATCAGTACTGGGATTGGAGAGGGATGTGCCTCCCTGGCCATGTGGAGTACATGGATTTGTGTACAACTTCCAAAGTCCTGCTAACTTCATCATTGATAGAGCAAGAAATGGAGATCACTCCCCAGGGTAGATCACAGGCTGTCTGTGAATCAGTACAGTCTTGTTTTCAGGTGTGTGTGAGAAGGGGACATTGCTTTTTGTTTTATAAATAATGATTATGGTAAAGAATTGGTTTGAGTTTTCCTACTGTTTGTATAAATGCAAGTAATGGCACAATGACATTATTCTGAGCAGGAAAATCTTTAATGTCACTTCAACTTCTAACTTCTTCATCTGGTCTCTTTGTGCATGCACTTCCATCATGAACTTATTTCATGTGGCAAAAAGTCCAGAATTTGTAGTGGAAGTGTAGTGCTGACAGACTGCTGGGGGAATGTTATCAGGAATTTCTTCTGCAAATCCCTAAGATCTAACTTGATATCAAGGCTCACAGATGCCTGAGCAAACAAGCATTCACTCTGAGCTTCCTGTTCTCAATCAATATATCTATCCCTCTATCATCACAGAAAATGCTGTCTTTTTATACAGTTGATAGAAGATGTGTTTAACTTCTGTTATTTGTGTTCTGGTAGTTTCTCGACAAGAGTAGACAAAAAGCATTTTAGCATTGAAAGTGTGAACTGCTCTTAGTTCTGTTGATTTTACAGCTGTTGAATGCCAGGGAAGAAAGGAGCAAGGAATAGCTGGGACATGTCATGTTTTAGCTTGTAGTGTTGCTGCCAGTGATAAGGAAGGTGAATTGCCACTTCAGGACCCAGGGAGCTGAGTCAGTGGTTTCACCCAACATGCTGAATTCCCTCCTATTTGCATAGTTGCCTGATGTAAAGTACTTCATGTTTGAAATAAATAGTAGTATCTGTGCAATAGTGCAAGGAAATGCAGTTACTGCCTGTAAAATGTCATGTATCTTTTATGTAACTGTAAGGAGTACCTGTCTGATCACAATTTTTCAGAGTAAAGGGTTGAAATCGTCAGGTCGTTACTTCTAAGCACATTTTATTGTTTACCCCTAAAAAGCGGAATTATTTCACTCATTACAAAAATGTGTATCAAAACATCAGGCATATATAGGTGATACATTAATTAGATAAGTTCTACATTTTAGTATGAAATTAAGTGTTTCCCTTTGTGGTTCTTTTTAATTAAAAACTCCAAACTCATCCAAACAATGATTACCAGAAATCTGTTTATTCATGATTCTGCAAAATGCATCTTGCATCTTAGTGATAGGACAGTCCTCCCATAGTTTTGAGAATGACAAGTTTTAGTGCTGTGATGTTCTTTCAATTTGTTCATGCTGTAAGAAAAAGCAGTGCAGACGATGAAGTCTGTCATAGTTGGGAATTGTTCGAACAGCCATTGTCCCTGTTCATGCTGTACTGAACAAAATCTTTAATTAGCAATGCTAATAATATTTTTTCCATTTTTTCCTAGGGTCCTTTAGAAAATGATTTGGTAGTACACGTGGCCCTCATAGCAGAAAGCCAGCGGTATGTATTTATTTTTCTTAGGAATGTGTGTATTAGGGAAGGGTTGAACAATAGACATCGTAAATGGTGGAGAATAAAATACTGCTGCTTATGTATCTCCTGGCAAGATAATTGTTGAAACTAAGACTATTCTGTGATTTGTCAGTAAATTTGTCCTTATTTCATTTGTAGCTTACAAGTTTTCCTGAACACATATGGAATCCAAACTCAGACCCCCCAGCAGGTGGAACCAATTCAGATATGGGCTCAAAAAGAACTTGTCAAAGTAAGGACTTTTGCATTTAAGATTTTTATCTAACTATACGTTTCTTTTGTAAAAATAAGAATTTAAATCAGGCTATTAGACTTGTATCTCCCCAAGCTCGTTATCTACCTTTCTTGAGTGGCAGTGGAATGAAAAGAGAAAGAAGAGGAAAACAAGAAAATGGGATAAGACACATGGAGTGTTCATCTGTAGTGGAAGTAGCACAGGAGAGGGGCAGAATCCTCTGTAGGCATAGACTGATAAGAGAAAAGGGAACACAACAGATGGTGTGCAAGACCACTGTAGTTTGGTGCATGCTCATAAATCAACCCAACAGTCTGGTCTGCTTTAACAGCCATTTCTTGCTATTAGCAGATTTAATAATCTAGAATTGAAGGGCATTTTAATAAAAGAAAAACCCCACCTGCTTGAAGCAACTGGACTTGCATGAAACCGTGCACTGTTCAGAGCTCTAGTGCTGAATCAGAACTGATGCTCTGATTGTAACAAGTCAAGATGGAGTACTAGTACTAGAAGACAAAACATCTTCAGTAGCCTGTGTTGTCAACATGAGGCCTCAAGCTGCAGAGTCCTCAAGGAAAGAGACAATGTTACAATGCAGATGGAGTTCTGGTTTTGTTAAGAAAGTGTTTTCAGTTTTTCATTCTAGCAAAATGAAAGTCCTTTTAGTGTTAATTTGTCATGTTTGCTGCCATTCTTCTAGTCTCCATTATCCTCCAAACAGAGGTTGAATGTTGTTTGGTTTTATTATGCAGAGATGGGTTATTTAGAGCTGTTAGTGTTCTAATGGCTCCATTCCTTTCCCACTTGAATAGGCTTACATAGCCTGGATGAACAGGTCATGTAGGTAATTTTGTTTGCTCTTTTAAATAGTTCTTGCTGTTAATGCAGAAACATAAGCAGGATCAGGAAGGCCCCAAGCTGCCAGCAATGAAAAGCTGTTGAGTGTAATGGTTGTTCAAGTGTTTGTTTTCATTTGCTTCTGAACTACCTTCCTATAACATAAAGAAAGTTTGAACTTCGGAAAATGTTCAGAATTCTAAATATTCTGTAGTAATGGTGGGTTCCTTACCTAAAACCGCCCAAATAAGGAAGAATTACACCTTTCAATCAGGTTTAACTGGTGTGTTTATACTGTCTTGCTCACAGCTCAGTTGTTTTCTTATGGTTTTATTCTCATATACCATAATAAATGAAGATTATTTCTTTCATATGAAAGTCTTACAAAATTGTATCAGTTGAAATTATACTAGGCATACATAAATAAGAATCAAGCTATGAATAATGAGATAAGTCCCTCTTGCTTGTGTTGTTGATGCCTTAATTTTGCAGGCTTGTACTAAAATGAGAATATAGATTTTCAAAAAGTTTCTATATTCCTCTTTTACCTTTGTATCTACACTGGAAAAACATTGCAGAAGGCAAAACTGGCCAGACAATTAATGCAAATGATCCTTTAAAAAAATTATTTCATTAAGCAATTTGAAAAATTAAAATCTCTTTTAATTATATAGAATAGAAAAGTAATAGGAGTAAGAAGGTAAAAAGAAGACCTAATATAGGAAATAACAAGTTTAATAAAAACCCCACAGATAGAAATAAGGACCACATTTTAGGAATTGTTTTCTAACCAGAGCAGAATACACACAGCTTTCTTTTTAAGAGTGGCAGGAGCATAAGAAAAGCTGTTTTTCATCAGTTTCCATGATTCTTTCTTACAGGCTTACTTCCATTTGGGAGTCAATGAGAAATTGGGATTGTCTGGAAGACCGGACAGACCTATAGGATGCCTTGGAACATCAAAGGTTGTTGCAAGAAATGTTTATATTCCTGTTATTGAGATATATTTTAGATAAACATTGAGTTAGTCTCTGAATTATTTTAAATAGAATTGAAATGCAGTTTTATATTATGCATATATCCTACTTTCAAGTAAATATATACTTGGCTGAATGGGGATAAAGGAAACTGCTTTAACTGAAATCGAATTTACACCTCCACATCTAATAAAAACCAGAGTGCCTAAAATTAAATATGTTGGCTTGATATTATTTTTTTTTTAAATTCAGCTGTTCTACAGTGATTATTACTTCGATAGTTTCAAAATAAATTTTCATTTTCAACTACTTCAGTGCTTCGGATATTTTAGAGAAAAGATTAATGGAAGTCTCCTCTCTCAACAGATCTATCGAATCCTGGGGAAGACTGTGGTTTGCTACTCGATCATTTTTGATCTCAGTGATTTCTACATGTCTCAGGATGTTATGATGTTGATTGATGACATTAAGGTATTTGTAACTTCTCCTTTGAGAAAGTGACAAAAATAGAGCCTGTAGAATAAACTGTGAAGTCTGATAAAACAGAAGACTGAAGGGGGAACACTCTGTAGTGTGTGTTCTTTTAATACAAAAATAATCTTGCAGCTGGAAAGTGTATTAAGATGACTGTCCTATCAGCCCAGTATGAGTTCTAGTGAGCATTTCTATCTGACAGAAAAAGTGCCCCAGAAGTGACTGGGGATGCTGTTGGGCAGCAAGCAAATTATCATTTGTTTCTTCAGGAAAACAAATGTTCTTGGCTGAAAAGAGGGATGAGCCTGGTGTTATGGGAAATATGAAAGCCTCACTTGGAAGAAATACTACTGGATTTTGCACAAATATTAACAGTTGCCTGTCTGTAAGGTGGGCAGCAGTGCAGAGCTTACCTGCCACGTGCCCTGGGCTTGATCAGCCACTTCCAGGGCACAGGAGGTGGCCCTGGTTATTCCACCCCAGTGGCTGGGATTCAGACCCTGGATCCCCATGTAACCTCCTAGGCCATTGCCTATAGTTCAGTACCCTGCACTGTCTCCTGGTTTACCCTACGGTTGATACACAAGCCTATGAGTATTTTCAGAACACTTCTGAAATAGCAGGGCTTGGAAAGCAGCTTGTATCCACTGAAGAAATCTGTTAGTGGTGGATTAGATACAATGTTTTTAACCTGCTGGGTGTTTCAGTGCTGTGATTTTGAGACAGTTCTTTTAGTGTCCTGAACTGTATGCTGTGGTTCCCTGTGCTTGTTTTGTTGTTCTGTGATTTTCTGTGACCAGCATGTTTTCTGTTCCCCAGAATGCCCTGCAGTTCATTAAGCAGTACTGGAAGATGCACAGACGGCCCCTGTTCGTGGTGCTGATCCGTGAGGACAATATAAGGTAGAGAGAGATAAAGGCATGATTTGCAGTGTGGTAGTTACCTAATTGCAAGATTAATGGAGTTCTGTTTCAAATTTCAGAGGGAGCAGATTCAGTCCAATATTAGATATGCTGGCAGCCTTTAGAAAGGGAGTTGTTGGAGGAGTGAAAGTCCATGTTGACAGAGTACAGGTATGCTGTTTTTTTCTGAATGTTGAGTCCTTACCTCCTAATATGGGTACATGTATTCTTACTACTTTTGGGTTTTATGGGGCTCTAAGGATTTTATCTGATATCATACAATTAAGGAGTTAAGACTCAGGTACATTTGGTACACTTTGGTTTTTCTCAAAAGAAACATGGGGTTTAATTCCTTTTGATGAGTCTTTTGAAAGTCAAAATCTTCACAGAGGATTTTCAGAAGGGAGAAGGATTTTTTTATGTTAGGCAATCTTGTGAAATTACTACCAAAAGATAAAGCTACGGTGCCAAGCACTGAGGGATTTCTTTTGATTAGGTAATCAACGAGGGGGGAAAAAAGGTGCTTCACATATATTAGAATTCTTACAAGAACTAAGATCTAGTTTTAACATCTTTGCTGTTTGAATTCATCTTAAAGCAGGAATTGTTGCTTCATTAAAATGTGAAAATTATTGAATCAGGTGCTGATTTTACATACTTGTATGTGCTAGTTCATCTTAGTTTACACCTATTGAAAAAGCCTTTTTTTGTAAGGGAGAAGACCAAAGACACACTTATGACTTCTTGTTCCCTAAAAAATCATTAATTTGTAGAAGACCTGGGTAATTTTAAAAGAAAATGCTCCTACCTATGATGGTTCAAGACATCCTTGGAATCTTTATATATTTATGTATTTCTCCTGGTCATGTATAGGTCATGTTGTCTCTACTGGTACCAGTGACTCTTTCTATAGCAACTGCCATTACTGAGCAGGGAGAACCTTTCATTGGGCTGCAGGGTTTGTTACTGTGGTCTGGTTTGCTTACTGTTTTCTTAACTGCAGTGACTTCCTTGCATTTCATTGATTCAACTGATGTATTATCAGGCAAGACACTCCATCTACGTGTGTCCTTATTTCAAGCACTACACTGAACAACTGTCAGGGAGTAACCTTTCTCTTCCATACTCATGGACCTTCTGGAAAAATCCTATTTTTAATATAAAAAGTGAGGAGCACTTTTAAAGGGTTTAAGGTGTTGGCAGTCACTGGTTTTTGCTTTATTTATTAGCCACTAAAACATAGGAAAACTACAAACAAACATTTGTTTGACTTCAAGGCCAATGGAGATGGTGGTGGGTGCTTTTCCTGCTGGGATTCAGTGGCCTTTCTCCAGCAGTTGAACTGAAATCTCTCAGTCTTATTGCGCAGTTGTCACATTTTGTTAACAGTCTTGTTTCATTGTAGGAAAGGATTTGGGAAAAGAACGAGGGACATCTCTAATTTGTGGTGTTTTCTTGAATAATTCATCTATTCCAACAAAATATATATTGATCTTTGTGAACTGTATTCAGCTGCTTCATTGAGATGCACATGTTAAACGTGCCTAGAGAGAATGTGTGTCTCTAACTGGGTGAATGCTCTTTTTTTTTCCTTTAAAATATACCAAATCTGATTTCATTTAAAAATATGTATGCTCAGAAGATTTGCAGCTCTTTTCTGATTTTCCCTTTTGTTGTCATCGTGTGTTCAAGCAGATGTGCAAGGCAGAGAATGACTGACAATGGTAACAAAGGCAAAGCAGGGTGGTTTATATTCAGTCATCTCACAGTGTAAGAGATCAATATTTTACTGCAGCTCGTGTACTATGAAAATGGAATATAGAAGTTCACAATACACACTCAGTTTTACTTAGCTAATGAGAACCATCAAAAGCAGTCTTAAAAATGCTGTAGTACAGTACATTCCCTCTGGCAGTAGATAAATAGGGAATTGCATAAATTCAGAAGGAACAAATTGTAACCACTGCATCAGATAAATGCAACATTTGGTTTCAGGCATGCAGTCTTTTGAGGTGTAAGTATTTGTCAGCTGCATTTGATGTGCAAACTTAGGGCAGGCATGCTTGGATTAAGGAATGACTACAGAGTGGGAATGTTACTGTGTGGTGTTTGCCTGAAAACATCGCTGAGACTGGCAGGAAAACCGCCCATCCTTCGGCAATCCCTGAAATAATGAGCAGTGTGATCCAGAACATGGGTCTTGTGTAGGACTCTGAGGAATGCAAATCCTTGATCTCAGGTGTTTTCATCAGACCTGGATTTTAGGGGTAGACATTGCTTGATGAAGCCATAGATTGCAGGCAAAAGAACAACAAAACACCAGTGAAGAAGAGACAGCAGCCCCAGAGACTTCTGCTGTCTTAAGCTGTAATTTTCCTTATGAGAGAGGAAAAATACTCTGAGAGTGTAAAACTATTTGGAGCTGCAGATAAAGAAACTGCTTTCTCAGTGGAAACCACCAGCAACATACTGAAATCAAAAGAAAGTTATATAGTAATGTACATTTTTTTCAATTTTTCTTCAATTTTTCATTTCAGACGTTAATATCTGGAGCAGTTGTTGAACAACTTGACTTCCTAAGAATCACTGAAACAGAAGAGTAAGGCTATGTGTAAATAGTAACAATGTGGTATTTGATAGTTAAAATATGTTCTGAACTGTGAAGAGATGATATACTTATTTTTCAGGGCTCCTGTATTCAAGAGTTTGGAGGAGTTGGATCTCCCAAAACATTCAAAAGTCAAGAGACAGTCTAGTACTCCAAATGCTTCTGAACTTGAGCAGCAACCAGATGTAAATATTAATGACTGGAAAACCAAGTCAACATATGAGATCCTGCAGAAACTTAATGTAAGAAAACTTGATAAAAATACACTGTAACTTTGTTCCTGTGAAATGAGAAATCCTGTGTCAATATTCTTTGTAACAGGAGCTTACTTAAATCAGCATTAGTGTCGTGATCAGTGTTAATAACACAGCTAATAACATAAAATGTGTGATGTTCCTCTCCATACTCAGGGAATCATCCTCTTTACAGTCCTTTGTCTTAACATCACAGAACCCTCTGGCCCTTAGTGCTGTACCTGCTGCCTGGCAGTTCTCTCAGCTACCCCAGTCATCTCTGGTGCTAAATGACCATCTAGAAGGGGACCCATTTGTTATGTGTTTTAGGAATAGATATTTTATTCGCAAACTGAAATTCAAAAGACTTGAGTATTGGGTGTTCCCTCAGATGGACTGGGAACTTCTTAATGACATCAAGGGAAAGTTCCCATCTGGCATTTTCCCTGTATATAGAGGAAAACTACCAGTATCTGTTCTAGATCTCATGTTTGATGCAAACCTACAAAGTATCCTACTTGGTTCCCTATGTCATTACAAGCATTTCTGCTGTAAATGAAAGGACCTGAGAAAGAAAAGTCAGGAAATGTTTCCAAGGTCAAATTATCTCAACTGAATATAAACCACAGAGAAGCCTCTGCAAGCAGCGGTGACAAGGATACAGCACACACAGTGTATGAAATAGTTGTGAAATCCCCTTAAAAACAACATTTGTAGACTTTTTCTTAAATTAAGAAAAAAAAAAAAAGGCCCTTTGGGTATGCTTGAAATTTTTAATAGCTGTTCTGGTTTTGCTTCACTGAAAATCTGAAGGCTATTTGTGGTTTTGTTGTTGCTGTTTTTTTCTTTTTTAAGGACTGCAATTGCCTAGCAAGTCAAGCGTTACTCTCCAGTATATTGCTTAAAAGGGAAGGCCCGAATTTTATCACCAAGGAAGGTAAGAGCTTCTTTCATTTGACTATTCAGAGTGTTTGAGGAAGCAGATGTATGTTTGGTTGCAATGAACATGAATAATAGCTGTGCATGCCAGCAGTTGTGTAGCTGTTTTCTCTGCCATTTAAAGCAATTTCCACATTAAATGGGACATGCAAATTCATAGCGTGGTGGGGAATGAGCTGCTGAATATATGAACTCTTTTAGATTGCTTGTAGGCCAGTGCTCTATCTAGTTGTAATTTTCAGTGCATAGATTAAAAAAAAAATAGAGGATTTGACCTTGTATAGAAAACTGAAACTTAAGACAAGTCTGTATGTCTGTAGCTGTATGAAATATGCGAATCTTTATACTTAATTTTTATTCTACTTTGATGTAATCCGACTTCAATGTATCTGTGAAACCTACCTAATTTTGTATTATGGCTTTGTATTAGAGCACAGATTTAAATTCCTGTAAAATAATTCTCAGAAGGCTACTGAGGCTTATGGCCTTTGTGCTACAAGTTTTGGAGTTTAGTTTTTTTCAAAGACTGTTTTTTAGCTGCCTTTGTATATGAGAATACTCCTCAGAAAAAGAGCAATGTTTAGATCACATAATATTCTCTTAGTTATTCACCAAGGAGTGTGACTTAGCAACTCATGTTATAGAGCCCTGCTTCTTAATTTTGGTGTCAGCTGGTTCTTGTGATGAAGGGTTGTCATTTTGACATAAGCATATATTATATCCATATTGGTATATTAAAAATGTCATAGAACTATGGAATGTCCCAAGTTGGAAGGGACCCACAAAGTTCATCAAACTCCAGCTCCTGGCCCTGCACAGAACACCCCAACAATCCCAGCCTGTGCCTGAGAGCATTGTCCAAATGCTCCTTGAGCTCTGGCAGCCTTGGGGCCGTGACCACTGCCCGTCACCTTCTGGGGAAAGAACCTTTTCCTGACATCCAAACCAACCCTGCCCTGACACAGCTTCAGGCCCTTCCCTGGGGTCCTGTCCCTGGTCCCCACGGAGCAGAGATCAGTGCCTGCCCCTCCTCTTCCCCTCCTGAGGAAGCTGTACCTGCAGTGAGGTCTCCCCGCAGTCTCCTCCGGCTGAACACACCAAGTGCCCTCAGCTGCTCCTCACACGGCTTCAAATCAAGGCCCTTCACCATCTTCTTATCCCGCTTTTGGACACTTTTTAATATCTTTCTTATGTTATGGTGCCCAAAACTGCCCTCAGTACTGGAAAACAATGTCGGAATAAAATTGATTGGCTGACACCCAGGACATTGTTGCACGTTGTGGTTGGAATCTGCACATTAGGCCCATGTAGCTTTTCCACCAGTTACCTGTACTATTGTCAGCTTTTGAGAGCCTCAGGGGCTTTTTTTTAGACTTTTGTGGGTTGTGTTCTTTGCTCTGGAAAAAACTCAAGGCAGATTTCCTAACCTCTGTAAGCAACCAGCATTACCACTTACGACTATTGGATCACTCTGTTGAAATCATTTTTGTAAAAAAAAAACGAAAAAAGTGCTGCTATGCCTCTGACCATTCAGAACTAATTTGCAGAGACCTTTTCGTACCATCCCACATGAAATGGTGGGTGATGATAACCTTTTTAATATGCACTTTGTATTAAACAGTCTGAGTCACTGACTAAAAGTTCCCTGCATCCTACGACTGGAGACCACGGAGACTGACATTCAATAATCACACAGTCAATAAAACCTAAATCTAAAAAGAGGAGCAGAACCTTGGGTTCTGCAGTTTGAAGGTGTACATTATGATGGGGTGTACCTTCATAGGCCAAATCTGTATGTAGATAAATTTTCCCCAATATATTGCAAGAATAGGTGATATCATGAGCATCCCAATATCATGAGCAGCAAATTCAGCTGAAATCTGGTTTGGCTTCTTGCATAACAGCATATACTGGGAGACAGGGGACTTGATTGCATCTAAATTTTAGATGTTAAACATAATAAAAAAGTGCTTTACCAAAGCAGATTCAGAATTAACCGATCTCATCAAATTGATCTTATTACTATTAAATGAAAACCTGTGCATCTTTTTTGCTTATGTTTTGTTTGTTTTTCTTTTTTTTTTTTTTTTTTTTATTAAATGCCTTTAGGTACTGTTGCTGAGCATATTGAAAGAATCTATAGACGAGCTGGCAGCAGAAAGCTCTGGTTTGTATACACATATCATGTTCCTTATGTTTTACATCATCTTTTTCCTAATGTGTTTATGAAAAGTAAGGCTGAATCCTTACACACTTAAAGGGGGAAAAAATGACAGCTTCACTGACAATATTGTGTTGGTGCATGGCAGCTGAAAATCTGGTTTAATATGCTTAAAAAAATTAACAAGTATCTTCTTACTGTTATCTTCTAAAATAGAAAGGCAATAGGCTGGATTTGCACTGAGTGCAAAATTGCTCATGTACAAGTCTCATTAAATTGAAATAATGAGAAAAAAATACTAATATTCTTATTTCTTACAGGGCATGATAAAATATTGTCAATAGCTTTCTGTAGCAAGGCTGCTGATCAGATATAAATCAGTTAAGCTGATACAATAACACAGATTTATTGCCCTGAATTAATTTGCTTTGAGCCTCGCTTTGTCACAATAACTTTAAAAGGTTTTGGCAAACAGGTTGATATTTACATGTTGTTTATTAATTTCTTTGCCCTGAAGCTCAGTAGAAATTTAATTTATTTTTATCAAAGAAGTGAGCTGAGCCTGTCCTGAACTCGGTTCTCTCACTCTGTAACTATTCCTAACAGATCAGCCTCTGAATATAAAACTGCTTTTCATTTTTGTCTCTTCATACAGTTAAACGGGCCTTTGCCAATAGTGAGGTAGAACCAAAATACCTTGGTGGTATTTTTTTTGTAACTAATTAAAATCAAAAGTATTTTTAGAAACAAAATATGTAAACTATTTTTCATTTCTCTTCCATGATTGCCATGTGACATACATATAGGTTGGTGTTGCGCTACAGTGCTGCATTTGCACAGAAATTTTCTTCTTCTATAACCCCACATATTACTACTTTACTGGTACATGGGAAACAGGTAAAGTGCCCAGAAAGCTGAAGTGCAGCTCTGTGAGATTATTTTTTTGCTTATTTGCATTTTGATAGTATCAGCTAATGCATTTTTTAAATGCTTTGCTCTTGATCTTAAGAAGTGTGTAGCACTTTTCACAGGAATCAGCATCGACTGTTTGAGCTTTTACTAACACTGTAGAATACTACAATTTGTTCCTTAACACTCTCAATAAATGATTCTTAGCAGCCTCAAAACCTGTGCTAGAAAAGCTCAATTACAATTGTATTTTGTCAGGAAATTATTATTAAAAGTATTCATATCTTTAGCCATCAACTGCATATATGGAAAAATGTTTTTCTGAGAAGTTGCAGGTTACACAGGTCTCTTCTTTTCACGTTACACATGCAAAATGTTACCTCAGCATGGAACACACAACAAGGCCTTGGTGTTACGTGTTGTACTTTCTCTTGCAAAATCTTTCTGACTCTGCCTTAACCTTGGTAATTTTTTAGTCTATTTATCTTGCAAAATGATGAAAATGTCTTAAAAGAGGAGCTGGCATCTCTTACCTGTCTGTTCTCAAGATGCTGCTGAGAAGAGAACAAGAAGCTTTTTATGGAGCTGGCAGTTTAATGAGTTCTAATGAGATACATTATTGATCCGTTAACCTATATCTAGACTAAAAAATGAAAATCCATAGAAGAGTACATAAAATCTGAGCCAAATTCCACTTTATAAATAACGATGCGTTCGCTGAGTTAGTTTTGAGATCTCTGGCAGACTTTAAACTGCTGTATGAATTCATTAAACTAGCTTGTGATATGTAGTGGGATTGCTCTGTTTTCTGCCCTCAGGTCTGTTGTGCGCTTCGCAGCAAGTCTTTTAGGTAAACTAGTGGACAGCCTTGCACCATCTATTACTAATGTTTTAGTTCAGGGCAAGCAGGTAAGTCTTTGCTCCTCAGAAATGTTTTAAGGAATTATAACAGAGAAACTAAACAAATGGCTTTTTAATTTTGAAGGCCTCTGATGCTTCTTTTTTAAAAGTCCCCAATGGCTTAAAAAAATCTTTACTGAGGAAGAAAAATCCAGGGAAAATTAAGATCTATTTAATAATTGCATGTGGAATTGGCTAATAGTTCTGATTCTAATCAATGACAGAATGAGACTGAAAAGACAGTTCAGCATTTAGGTAAGAGGGGAAGAGGTATGATTTGCATGAAATTCTTTAGGTTTAAGGTCTCTGGGGAGACCTTAGAACACCTTCCAATGCCTAAAGGGGCTCCAATAGAGCCAGAGAGGGCCTTCTGACAAGAACATGCAGAGACAGGACAGGGGGGAATGGCTTCAAAATGAGATAGGGTAGGTTTAGGTGAGATACTATGAAGAAATCCTTTACTGTAAGGGTGGTGAGACCCTGGCACAGGTTGCCCAGAGAAGCTCTGGCTGCCCCATCCCTGGAAGTGTTCAAGGCCAGGTTGGATGGGGCTTGGAGTAGATTATCTTTAAGGTATCTTCCCACCCAGACCTTTCTAAAATTTATATATATATATCCTCTTATTTCACAAAAGTTTTAAAAGACTTCTTTAAAGAAAATGTAGCCATTCTCTCTAACTGAACAGAAGACAACACGTGGGTGGCAGCTGAGCCAAAGGTCTTTCAGGATTTTAGTATTCTGTTTCAACAAAGTTTAATCAACAGTGTTTCTTCCTTTCTTAAGGAGGATGTCATTTTTTTTTCCCAGCACAATAATTTTAATTATGTTCATGAATAGCTGCTTCCAGATAATGCTAATTGAATATTTATGTCTATTTGTATTAAGTGTATGTGTATATTTGCTTATATGCAATGTTGTTGTTTGTCCCACTCCAGACTGAGGTCTGGGTTTGTGCTTCTGGCGCTCCAGAGCTGTAGAGGGAACTGCACCTGCCTGCAGCATGATTTGAGGCTATCTGCAACTTTTTAACCTAACTTTTCTTCACTGGTCACTGTGTAACAATGGTCTTTATTGTAGGAGAAAAACTAGTGTTGCTGTTTTACTGACAGTAGATTAAAAACAAACCAGAATTTTAACAAAATTCCTTTTCTGTGGTTAAACAATCCAGTAGCAGCAATATGTTTTTTTAAAATGAAGGCTGTCACTTTTAGGATGCTATTAGAAATAAGAAAACAAAATATAAATTTGCTATTGAATTTTAAGTGAGCTTCACAGCTGAAATGTATGAAATTAAATACTGTCTAAACCTCATGTTACAGCTATGATTACAACCAAAGCATTTTTATTTTAATGTAGGAAAATATATTCCATATTTATTGTTGTCTTTTGTGAAGTTTATTACTTCAATAGCATCCAATTAACAGTATTAACAAGCATCAGCCATTGACATAAAATTTTTTTTGTACTGTGCAATTTTAACAAGCAAAGCAGAGTTGATGAAGTTGAATTTCTGGATTGCTTCTCCAGTGCTTTTATTCCTATCTGTGTCTTCTGAATTGTTTTCAATGTACCATAGGTGACACTTGGAGCTTTTGGCCAGGAAGAAGTTGTTATTTCTAACCCCTTATCCCCAGCAGTGATTAAGAACATTATTTATGAAAAATGTCATTTACAAGATGAAAGAGAAGCCGTAGTTCAGCAGGAACTTGTCATCCATATTGGCTGGATCATCTCAAATTCACCTGAGCTGTTCAGGGGGATGCTGAAGATACGGATTGGGTCAGTAAAGTGTCTGCTGTTGTTCTTTATTACTACTGCTATTGCAGAAGAATATATATACTTGAAATGTATGCAGATGGTTGCTACGTTGCAGAAATGGTTTATGTAAGATGATGCAGCAGAACTTGTATACTTCAGTTTTAGGAAGACTGCTTTAAATTAGTTTGCCAAAAGCAGGTACACAACTATTCTCAAATTGCCAGTCAATAGTGTAAAGTGGAGGGACAGTCCTTGTCATGGTTCATTTGGAGCATTCCTACTGCTGATACAGTGAACTAGAGGACTTATCAAAGCTTTGGATTCTGTTGCTAAAAATGTTCTTCAAAACCACCTCAAACCAAATACCCCCACTCCCCAGCTGAATAGTATCCCTAGTGCAGACAACATACACCACTTCTTGACTGCTCATCAGCTGCCTAGTTGTCCAATTCTCTACTGAATAGGTTTGTCTGAGCCAGGAGCCACAAAGCTGAATCAGGTTTAAAGCATCATTTACCTGGTAGGTTGTTCTATTTAGCTGACAAGGTGACCTACAAATAGTCTGTGCTGGAGCATTGTCATATTCCATGGTATCTGCATTTACTCTGCTATCTGCAGAAGTTAATTATTGTTCATATTTAGGAAGAGACATGCATTTGAATAAGCACTTCTTTGAAGAGGCCAGGTGCTACTGACTGAGATACACAGAATGAGTGAGCACACTTTAAAAATCAGAACTTAAGTGTTCCATCTTCCCTATTTTTTTTCCATAGAGAAAAATATGGCATTTCAGCACTGGAGGTAGATAGCAGCAGTCTTTTTTCAAGCACACAAAATTCATATTTCCACTTTAGCAGTACATTCTAGTCGTCATAAAACCGAAAATTTTTCAAATGCCTGTATTAGATTTGACTGGAATACATCTATCCTTTTGCACTTAAATGCTTTTCTGTCCCCTCTACAGATCCATGTTACTCTTCTTTCCTCCCCCTCCTTATTCTCTGTATCTAATCCTTTTAGCAATTTTTTTTTCTTTCTTCCAAGGTTAATGCTAGAGATTCAATTTCCTTTATTTCAGTGTTATCACCCACTCCAGTGAGCAAAATTAACCTTCTCACAGAAATGCCATTCCAGTTTGGTAATGATTTGATTTAGTGTCCTGTTATTGATTTGTTTTCAGGGTTCCGTGTTGAAATAGATCAAGTTGCTGACAGGCCTATTACTGTAAAAACTCCCAACCTATGACTTCTACCCTCCTCTTATCAGTGAAGAGCTCAGTAGAAGGTCCAGTCTTGACTTTGCTGTGGTTTGGAGGCAACTGCAAAGGGAAAATACCCGTGAGGGACTTACAGACACATTGGAGTCACCAGTGAGGAAAGGACAGATTCCTGAGCCAGTTGTGTTGTTAATCTCAGTAAGGAGAGAAGGACACTATTCCCCTGCTGAAATAAATGAAAGTAGTATGTCCTGCATAATGTAATGTGTCCATGTGGCCTGATCTTCTCTGGTGTCTTGCACCTCCAGTGCAAGGTCTTGGAAACATCAAATTTAAAGTAACGTTGGATCAGCTGGCTGGACATCTCCACATTGTCTGTAGTTACTAAGAATACTTTAGAAAAGACTGTGATTGACTTACACAAACACAGACATTCTGCACCTTGTTGGCTAAATAACCGAGTGACCGTGGAATGTGGCTGATACTGATGACAGTGTAGCTCCCTTAAGAATGTGCTGCATTTTGGGGTAATCACAGGAGAGCTCTTTGATGTAACCCAGACTTGATCAGGTGTTATATGACGGACTATCTGAAGACCAACTATTTAAGTTTCTTTTTCCTTTTGTTAGTAATACCTGCTTGAACTGAACCAATGTAGATGGTGAGAGACCGAGCTCTGTGCCCACTTATTTGGCTTCAAATGTATCTGTACCTTATTTCATCTTTGATATTGCATTTGGTTTTACATAATGTGCAGAATAAAACTCAGCATTTTCCTTCAATACTTTGCCAAGGTCTGCCTCTCTGATACCTAAGGCTAAAATTCTTTGCTGCTGCCATGTTTTTATGTAATCATGTTTTTTCAAAAGAGGGTAGCAGAAGAAAGTGTGATAGACTGCAAAAAGGAGTTTCAAAGGCTAAAATTATAAATAAGCCCTGAAGTATTTTAAAAAGTAAAATCTTGTCATTTTAATGGCTTTTTAAAACTCTTCAGCAAAATGCATATATTATCAGAGCCTAATTTTGAATAAGAATTTTAACATCAAAAGCCAGGTAAATGTTTGTCTTAATGAACATGGGATGTAGTCAAATCAATTTTTTATAGCTAATTTTTTTTGTAGTCAATTGTAGTCAATTTTTTGTAGCCAAATCAAATTTTTCTATGCAAAGCACACTTCGCAACACATTTATTAAAATATATGCATTATCCCTTTCAGTTCATATCATGTTTCAATCAAACAATATGAGTTGTAGAGTCTGATATTTTATGCATGTCCTGACAGCCAAATAGCAGGATCATGTGGAATTCTTATGAGCTATTTTATTAGACTAATTTTTCATATTTGGAAACTTTGTACTTAATTAGTAAATATATTCCTTGCATTGCTTCAGATGGATTATTCATGCTATGCAGTATGAATTGAAAATCCGTGCTGGGGATATGCCAGCCAAGGACTTGTACCAGATGTCTCCTAGTGAAGTGAAGCAGCTTCTGCTGGACGTCCTTCAGCCACAGCAGCCGGGCAGGTAATGAGATGTGAGGGTTTGTGGCACCTCTTTTCATTCATAATCAACTGTTCAAGTGAATTTAGTTTCTGAACTGCTTTGCACACCCCTGAAATCACCAGGCATCTGTAATCACTAATATACTTATTTAAGGAAAAGTGGGAAAAACACACTTTTTCAGTCTTTCATATGTGTCCAGGTTCTACACTTGTTTCTTTTATACTGCATGTTCCTTTTTCAGCTTTATCCTTGTGGAATTCTCTTCACTGCCACAGAAAAGAGATCTGCCTATTGTAAAATGGAGCATTACATCCTTTGACGTGGGGAAAGGAGCCAAAAATTACCCAATAACCTCTACTTAAGTAGCTTATAAGAACAGTTTGTCTGCTGTTCAGTGCCCTCTTCCTTCTGGGTTATTATATGAATTAAGAACAGATGTTCTCTAGAATTCTCGAGAGAGTGGCACTGCCTGAAACTTGTCATCTTTTCTCCAAGCTGTAATCAGCTGCCAAAAAGAGCATTCATTGTGATACAAAGTACGCAAGACAAGTTATGATGACAATATTTCCACTGAACTGTATTGATAAGAATGAAGTCAAAACTCTTCCTTTTGGTTTTACTTTGTTAGATTAATCTTTGGCACATAGTACTGCTGATAATTTCCATAGTCCATGACTGAATGGATAAGGGCCTTTTCTCTCAACACAGAGGAAGTGCACAACACATCCCATTACTTGTGTTCCTGCTTCATTTAGAACACACCTGTTTTATTCCCCAATCTGTAATGCCTGAGAAACAAGTTGCTTAAATTGGTGTCTCATCTCTCAGTCCCACTGGCCGTGTGCTCTATCTCCCAGGTGCTTTTCAGTGTCTTGGTTGTGTTTATTTAAATTCTTCTTGTTTAGTTGCTGTCTCTCCTCACATTAATGCTGACATTATTTTGCTCAAACTGCAGCAGAACAACCCCTGGTCTCTCTGTGCAGCTCTTTCCATTATGTATTAGGCTATTTAGGAAACAATTTGGTCAATCACAGTAAGCATTTCAAGCACCATCCATCATTAGAGATCTTACCTGAGTCGCCACAGCAGCTTCTGCTTTTGATTCCTGTAACTCAGGATAGATAGGTCAGTAAAGAGCACTCAGATGGATTTTCTGAGGATGAGGATTCTTTTTTGGGGCTTATCTGAGTACAAAAGCTTGCCAGCATATTCTTCAAAACTTCCTATCTTTAACTTCTTCCTGTACAGAATTATAACTTGTTTCTCCTTGCCCATTAGTGACTCGTTTTTAAAAGTTCTTTTCCTGCCAGGAACTACAGAACACTGTCTCCTTGCTTTTTTTTTTTGTTTTGTTTTGTGACAGTTTTTCCTACTCTTGTGATCTGTAGAAAAAAATCTCCGCTAGTGTGACACCATATCTCACTGCCAATTAATTTGTCATGCAGGAAGGGTTAATGGTCTGTTTACCTCCCCAAACAGTCCACAACCAACCTCTCTCCAAATTTTCACAGAGAGTAAAATATTTGCAATTTTCCTACCTCTCTCACACTGTACTCCAGGGTATGATACCATGTAGATGCATGTATTACCTGTCTCACCAACAGAGTGCAGACTCCACAGATACTTTGAGCCTATTTATGTAGGTCACAGGATTACAAGTAACCTTTTGTTAAATGTTCTTTTAATGGTCCAAATAGTTATAAAACTTATTTTGCTTTTTCAGTTTACAAGACTGTCTTCCTTGCCATGGTTATGTGTGTAGGTCAGAGTATTTTTCACATCTTCAAATGCTTCTTTCTTTGAATTAAGAAAAGACCCTCTTATTTCTACCACCACTGGTCGTTCTGTTTTTATGGAAGTTTTCTTGTCCTAATCCAAGGACAGAGCTGTACAGAGAGTGAGATGGAGCTGTCATAATAGACAGAAGTTTTTGGCAGTTAAGTGACACATTGCTGGTGTCTCAAATGCTGTGGCTAAAGCCCCATTGCTGTAGTAATACTGAGAAGAAAAAAATAGGAAAAATAAATTCCAGACTTGATGGATGTAAGTGAAGGAGGCTGTGGACAGTCTGCTGCTGAAGACAAACAAAATTTGTGATTTATGGTGAAGGTAACTCAGTTTGTTCAAAACTTTCGTTTAACAAAACCATTCTGTTGAATTTTCTAAATTTACAGGCCACTTGTTTTCTACACACCATCAGAAAAAAAACCCCTACCTTCAGCAATTCTTATCTTTCAGCAAAAATTTCTGCTGAAATGCGCTCTCCTAATATGATTACACATGATGAATTCGATCTGCTGCTGTTACTGGACTGCACTGGATAGATTTCACAGTTAATTCTTTTTCTCCAGTTACATAAAACAAACACACACCCAAGAATAACGTTCTGATCTCTGATGCTGAACATCTTTAATCTGTTTTTTTGGAGTGAACCTCCCCTGAGAGCACAGCATGTACAGCGTGTGCATGTTGAGATGTGTGTGATGTCACTGCTCACCTTGCTGGCTCCCAGCACAGAAGGTGGCTCTGTGGTGCTCCTGTCAGAGGTTCTCACAGGAGTTTCCCCTGTGTGTGCCCCAGGAGCTGGCTGAACAGGAGGCAGATCGATGGCTCTCTGAACCGAACTCCGGCCGGGTTCTATGATCGGGTGTGGCAGATCCTCGAGAGAACTCCCAACGGTTTGATCGTGGCGGGGAAATTCCTACCACAGGTAAAACCACCAGAGGTGCTATGTTATTTCTGTTTTACCTGAAAATGGTGAATTATTTTGTCATTAATGTTTATTTTATGTCGCGATGTTTTACTTGTTCCTGTTAGAGTTGAAAAACAGAAAAGTGTTTTCAAGTTCTCTTTTTTTGAGGGGGGAGTAAAATACAATCAGAATAGAATGGAAGGCAAGTATTTCTATTAAAGCACATTCATAAAAGCATAAGTCTAGAAAACTCTCTCCAAATCATGGACTCTGAAATCTGCTCCGTTTTTGATCCTACAGTGGTTGTATTTCTTTGTTGAGTAGGATTCAACAAGCAAACAGGCTCTACCTGGGGGGGGTTTGATTTAATGCAGATGGTCTTTGAGTAACAATATTATTTCTCTTTCAGCAACCAACCTTATCGGATATGACGATGTATGAAATGAATTTTTCCCTTCTGGTTGAAGATATGCTGCAAAACATCGACCAGCCACAATACAGACAAATTATTGTAGAGGTCTGTGGCCAACAATTAATGAAATTTTATAATATGCATGAGTGTGTTACAGCCTGAAGGAAAAAAAAATAACCCAGACTCAAATATCTGAAGAATTAGCATTTTAAATATAAGCACTTGCTTCAGTGGTTTCTCCATTATCTCCATGATTAAACAGGTTTCTGTTAACATATTCAGAATATACCAAGTTCTTAATGTTCTTTACCAAATATTAACGACAGTACCAATACAATTAGGCCACAGGAGGTAAAAACTAATAAAGAGTAATTCCAAAGTAGCTTTCCTTCAAGTCCCTAGCCCATGCCTTTTCCTAACAATTTTCTAGGTCTAGCCAAAACTGCTCTAAAATAATCCATTTGCCCTCCAAAGGATTCTTCTTTCCATTTTTGCTGAGGCTGCTTTAATAAGTTGCTTTATATTAATGAATTGAATAACTTCCCATTTTCTCGTGTTCCTGTACCAAAGAGTAAAACAAGAGGCTGTTTAAACTCCCTCTCCTCCACTGCACATGATGTTTGCTTTTTGAACAGCTCAAGAGCACCTGTACCATTGGTGTCTGACACCTGTGCTGTCAGCAGCACTCACTGTTAGTCCCCAGGTATGTGCCCCTGGTGCTTGTGATTATTGCTCCACAGGGAAATCAAATCCCTCTCTGTTCTGGCTCACAGCTCATGGTCAGGCTGCTTGTTGGAACATCCCCAATTTTTGCTAAAATATACCAAAATTAACAAACCCAACATGGCCAGTACAGACTCCACTGCCCACTTGTAAGTACTTCAACAGGACACTTGCCACGTTCACCTTCCTATTTTAAACCTCTTTCAGATGTAAGGAAGGTAAATTTTGAAGAACTGAGACTTTACTGATATTTATGGACCTTGGTTTTTATAAACTTTGTCAAAGTATGACGTATAATCTGTAATTATGCCTCAAAATACCAAATGCTGAGGTTCAGTGTTTGCTGCCTTTCGCCCTCTCCAATGACTAAGCTGCAGCATTTGTGCAGCCACACAGTGAACTGAATAAAATAGGAAATAACTTCCCTGGCTCCCAGCCAAGTTAGATTTTAATGTCAATCATTTACACAGTGCCCTTAACTAGGTAGTCACCAGCAATTGTAACCTTTCATGAAAGCCTGCTTTTCCAGTGATTCTTTTATCAAAGTCAGAATTCTATTATCTGTGTGCTATTACCTGTGCCATTATTAAATGGCTTCCTGCTTCAAAGAGGCACATGCAATTACCAGCAGTGCTATTATGTAACCTGAATTTTAAAAAATCAAATTTAAAGTCTTACAGTCTTTTTCTGCCTTTTAGTTGCTGATGGTTATATCTGTTATTTTGGAGAGAAATCCTGAGCTAGAGTTCCAGGACAAAGTGGACTTGGACAAAGTGGTGCAAGAAGCATTTCATGACTTTCAGAAAGATCACAGCAGTCCAAAGGGAGCTGAAAGTCAAGTGAGTAAAATATTGCTGTCTTACAGGATTTACCATTCTTACTGAAGTTATAAATGTTAATTCTGTGCAGTTCAGAGTAAAAAGCAATTGATGGGAGTTCAGAATGGAACACAGATAAGAAATTAGGATACCCAAGTGCTGCCTAAGCCTGCAAAGAGCTTTTAAGCAGAGATGAAAGAGGTGCACTTTGTTGCTGAATTGTAAATTCAAAATTTTAGGATGGGGGAACACTCAGTGTTACATAGCTCTGAAATGGGAGTTTGTGTAAAGCTGAGAAAGTTACTTATCAAAGGGGACAGAATTCATTAAGAAGGACACTAGAACAGAGAAGAATTAAAAATAAGAAAATAAAAAAACTAAAGCTCAGCATGAAAGTGTGGACTTAAGATCTTATGTACACAGATACTAAGAAAAGTTTAGTAACCAAAGAACTTTTATTGACTGTATTAATGCAAGATCTTGAAACACAAAACTGTTCTTAGTTACTGATTTTTGTGCTGGAGTTGCATTCATGACCTCGCAAGCTTTTGATATCTAAGGGTTAAAATTCAAATAAATGAATAAATGCTTCTAATATTTACTTCACTAGAAGTGTAGGGTTTATGCTTTAGAGACCTCTAAATATTCTTACTACAAGTTTTGGTACCTCAAAGCTCTGAAATTCGGTAATGAAGCCAAGTTTATTGAACTGGTTGAAGGAGGAAATAGGAATAAAGCAGTGGGACAAGTCCCTGTGCTGCTGAGGATGATCTTCTTTGCTCTGTCTGGCATTTTATTGTGCTCAATATATTCAAAAATATCTGTGCTAGCTCTGAAGAATTTATTGATTCATAACATTGACATGCAAGAGCAGTTCCTCTTGCTGAATTTAGCTCCTTTAAAAGATGAGGAAGGATATACACCTTGGGAATTCTTTCAAATGTTTCAGTGTTCAGTCTTTTGCCACCAGTTTTTTGTAATAAGGTTTGAAAGCAAGACCCCTATCCAGCCTCAGCAACGTGTCACTTTGCATAGTACCTTTGTTTGTAAAAGAACACAGTTTTCTTGAAATTACAATTCTTTTGGCCCATTTTGGAGTGTAATGACTCTGTGGCCATGACAAACTCACACATCATCCACACAAAGGGCTGTTAAGTGCCAGCTCCACACTGGATCTCGAATATGCTACTGCCTTTTTGTGACAATTTGCAAATCCCCAGTGGCTATAAAGAAAGATTCCATGCAAATCCCAGTGTTTACTGGTGCTGCCCTAGCCTCCATTGAAGTGATGGATTTTTTCCCAAGGCCAGATCTACTTAGACTAGTGCCTTTTTGTCTCCTGGAAAGAAATCCTGTAGTTGAGAATAGTATGTTTAAGTTTGTTGTAAATTCCAGCTCCTTACATGAGAATTTTCTGGAACCTGCCTCTCCAAATTCCCAGGTGTATGCTTCTGGCAGCTCACTGTAGCCTATTTAGGATTGTTCTTATGATGTTCTGTCTCAAAGTTTCCTAAAAAACATGGCTAAAACCTCCTAATTTGTCTGAACCATGGTCTTCCATAAAACCAACTTGCAAATATTTTGAGCTTTGCTAATTCCCTGTTAACATACAATAGATGTCAAAAGTATTTACTCCAGTAATTTCAAACACATCTTAAAACTTCAGCAGTCCAATATTTTCACCACACAATCTCTGCCCTTGATTTAATAAAAGTAACCAGTTTACTGAATTAAAGTGTTGAGCCTTTATATAGCAGCTAATATATAACTGGAGAATAAGCAGATGTTATAACGTCATTAGCTGTGAAAAACAGGTGTTGAGTGAAGGACACCTATTTTGGTGAACTGATTAATGAGTTAGTTCATGTGATACCTGTGGGTTGGATCTTGGATTGTTTCTTTCTGAATAAGTCTTCAGTCAGTGTTCCATCTCCATGTACACCCAAGGCTCTGGCTCACAACTGTGCTGTGGCAGCACAGTGAGGGCCCACAGTCAGCACCCAGCTGCATGTTTTAGGAGAGCAGTTGTTCTCTGACAGCTGTGACATTTAAGAAAAATATTAAGAAGGTGGTATCTGTATAGTCCTGGAAAACTCAATGCAGAAATAGATGCAGTAAATCTTAGTAACCTGTTCTCCACGTGCTGAGGTAAGTATATGGGGGAGATTTCTACAAATGGAGCAGAATTGTTCTATAGCTTTAAACTCCTGAAAACCACATTTGCACTTCTGCCATATTTGGGATGTTCCTCTTGTTACCCTGTGTTTGGCTGCTTTTCTCAGTCAACACTAATGGCAGCATCTTCTCCTTGCCCTGCAGAATGACATGACTGCTTTCTACAACACCCCCCCACTGGGGAAGAAGGGAACGTGCAGCTACTTGAGTAAAGCTGTGATCACCTTACTGCTGGACGGGGAAGTGAGAGCAAGCAGTGATGATCCCTGTACCATCAGCTGAAGCTCTGAAACACAAAAAGGAATGGTTGCTTTAGCTAGTGTTCTATGTATTTTTCAAGCATATATTAAAATACTGTTTTGAAGAGTAACCCTGGCTAGCAATACAAATGCATATTATCCTCTGCTGAAAGAAGTGCCATTAAAGATACCAAGTGCCACCTAATTTTTTCCTTTCTCAACTATGCAGCTGTAACTGAGCACATGAAGTTAGTCTGATGATAATTGATTAAGCTGAATGAGAATTTATTTATGATCTTAAATTATGCACCTAATGTAGCTGGTTAACTTCAAAAGAAAAGCAGTTTTTGTCTTTATACCTCTATTTATTTATAATTACAGAGAAGTTTGTTGTAAACTCTAAATGGAATTCAGAAAATACCATAATTAACATGCATACCAATCAGTATGGAAATACAAAAATTGGATTATTTTCTTACTATTTTACACATAAATTGTAGGTGATGGTTAAAGAGTTGTTATTCATTCTAGATTTTCTGTATCAGTTAAATTGACAGGCATTGTTTTCAGGTTGTTGTTTTTTTTTTTTAATTTACCAATTGGTCACTTGATATACAGGTTTCATCCTAATAGAGCAACTTTTTATCTCAAGCAATATATATCATTGCAGTTTCCCAACTGTAGTTTAAGCATCTGTAAGTTAACAAGGGAAATGTTCGGTAACAAGATGAACGTTTGTTTTTAAAAAAAGGGCAAACAGGCTGTATTTAAAATGAACATCAATGAAGAAATAAGTTTGTATTACATATGCTATCTTTGCATTAAAAAATTCAAAATACACTTATTTATCTCCTAAATGTGTGAAAACGCTGTATGCAATATGCTTTATTTTGGTGAAAATAATAAAAAGCAAATGCTTGTAAAAAAAACCCTGTCAATAAAAATACTTTAAGTGACATGCAAAGAGACACCTATTTCTAGAAGTTTTAAAAATATTGTTTGAAATTGATGTATATCTTGCCATATAAATATACAACATAACTCTTGTCTACAAACTGTAAATCCTGATGAAAGGAAACAGTCCTTTCTGTGCAAACCCTGCAGGTTACTCCAGGAGCACTGGCAGTTCCTTACTCAGTGGCTCTAGTTTTGGCTTTGCAATTGCTTGTGATTTCAAATGTCAGTGCACTTTAATTCTTACCGCTTCTTGCTGCTTCTCTTCTGCTCTTACTCCATTAATACCTCAGTTACTGGGAAGCCTCAGATTTGCTGATCTTGGTCTGACCTTTATTAACTGCAAATGAATGAAAATGCCACTCACCCCTTTTCCTTATTCAAACTTGGAATGAAGATTCATGCAAGCTGGTCTTGTTTTCCTTTATAGCCTTGAACACGTAGTTTATGAAATTGCAGTTGTGACAATTTTTCACCTTCTACAAAATAAGGTTAGATTAGAAGATGAAGATACCAAAATCCAGCAGAGTCCACATTCTCTGAAAAAGGTTCTTGAGTCTGGAACGACAATACCATTAATTTTTCTCTTGGTGAAGTAGGAACAAGACAGGAGCTTGACACAAATGGCTCTTAAGCTTTAATAGCTTGCCTATTAAATTATAGTTTTATAAGATAAGAAGATAATCGGAATAGAAACAAACATTTCTACTAAACAATTTTCTACATTATAAAGTGTTTGAAATCACAGAGGAAAGAGAAATTTTTGTGAGAATAAAGAGGGCAGCAGAAAATGAAAGGTAAACCTGATAGTTTTTAAACAGCCATAGGTCAAATAATGTGTGGTTAGTATTTAATAAACTTGGTCCTAATTTCTTTGAAAACGTTCTTTCTCAAAAAGACAAGGAAAAAGATGCATTTGGGGTTGTAAATTAATAATTGAAGATGCAACAGTCAATGTTCACAGTGCCCTGTGAACTGACAAGAGTTGCTGGCACTAGACTTGCTCCAGGCATTAAAGAAATAAGTCCCCAAGGGTTCAATATTGGTTCACACCATTCAATTCCTTATTATCCTCAGTACCTTCACAGTGCTCCAAAACTGGAAAAACCATTTGACTTTCAAGGGGAAGTAGGATCCATTAAAACAATAGGAAAACAGTAGTTGAAATAATTTAAAGTTTAGCTATTGAGTATAAGCAAGTTGTTTTTAAGCACCACTTTTTCCCCCCCAGGTTCCTCTATGAGATGCTCTTGAGAAGAAGACCAAATTATTTCAGCTAAGCAAATCACAGCAAAAAAAAATCCCTTTTCCCCTCTGCAATTAGGAAGAGGGGAAATACCAACTTGCAGTGACAACTCCTGGTGTAGATACACATAAACGCACCCCCCCTCTTCACCTCCAAACTCAGTCACCTTCAATTTTGTCAAAACCATTGTCTTCACACTGTGGATTACTGTGACAGTTAATAGGTGTCATGTTCACAGCACAGCACACATTTCAACCTGCTCCATTCCTCAGGAGAATTCAGAAGGTAAGAAGTTGACACGTGCAGTCAAGGCTTGCTTGGCATTTTTGCTGTTTGCTTTGTTGCTCCCCTCCATAGGACTTCAGTCTTACTTTGCTCACAGATCAGTTTGTGCAGCTGCTACAGAAGAGAAACTGGAAAAAAATAGACAACCAGGTTAATAACAAATAAATCTCTGAGAAATCCTCTTCATTAGTTGCTAATGCACCATAGCAGAAAACACAGTAAGAGATCCTGATTTGAACAGGTTTTTGTTGGATCAATCCAAAGGTGGTGCTGTCACAACACTCATGGGGCATTTTTCTGAATAATATTTTGTCATCAAGGTTATCAGCAAGCAGTGTCTGATGACAGCAACTTTAGGGTTAATATGATAATATCACAGAGAAATCACAGAATATTCTGAGTTGGAAGGGACCCACAAGGATCATCGAGTCCACAAGGATCAACTCTTCAATGAATGGCCTATACAGGGATCAAACCCAGGAGCTCGGTGGTGTTGGCACCACGGGCTAACCAGCTGAGCTCATCTCAGGGGCATTGTTCTCCTTTTGTAATTTAGGTCTCCTATTTTTTGTTTTCACTGCTATTTAAATACTTTCTTAAACCTTGCACATGGAGTTCACGCCATGAAAATAAATTCCTCAAGAAATGGTCATCGTTCACAATCAGTGCCATTTTATATTTATGTGCCTCCTACAGTTTTCAAGAAAATCTACCTGCTTTACCCATGGCATTTTAAGACTGAAAATTGTCCTTCTGTAAAAATGCAGTACTAATATCACTGAAAGACATATTTAATGAAAAAAACCCCAGTGATACAGTCACAGCATATACCTTGAAGATACTTTGCTAGTTTGTAAAAGGAAAAAAGAAATGTACCAAAGGGAGTGGGAGTGGTGGGGCAGTCTAATGCTTAAAACATAAATTATAAAAATACTGGGATGCAATTAATTCCACTGAAGCTTCTATATTTCATCCCAGAAATCAATCAAGAGAACGACTTGATTGAATTTTTAGATAATTACTATCCACAAAACCCCTGCCAGACATACTCTCTTCTCCAGAAGCGTGACAGTCTTTTAAGCTAATGAACTAAGCCTTGCAGCGTGGGAAGAGAAAATTAAATAAGCAAGAAAATCTATGCTCTGCCATAAACACAAAATGAAACAGAGTTGTAAAACACTGCTGAGAGCCCAAAGGAAACGTGCAGGATCACACACTGTCCATGCCCACTCCTGCTTCTGTCACAGGATCACACACTGTCCATGCCCACTCCTGCTCCTGGCACAGGATCACACACTGTCCATGCCCACTCCTGCTCCTGGCACAGGATCACACACTGTCCATGCCCACTCCTGCTCCTGGCACAGGATGACACACTGTCCATGCCCACTCCTGCTCCTGTCACCTCAATTCCAAGCCATGGGTCTTGTGTGTGGGAATATGGGGAGAAGATAAGAAGGAAACAGCAGGGTCTGAACTAGAGAGAACTTAAAGGATTTGCCCTTGGTGTTGTGGTCTTGTGTTTTTGTGGGTGTTTGTTTTGTGGGAGTGGAATAAGGAGGTTGTATTCTTTTCATTTGCTTGTGCAGAACTCTGACATTAGGAACCATCCACGGGTTTTCTCCACCTCAGCGTGCTTTTCCTTTTGCTCACTGGCAGGAGCTGGAACAAAAACAAAATGCAGAAACACCAGATATAAGGAATGTAAAAGTCTACATGTGGTGGGTGTTTCCTGAATCAGACAGACTTTCCTAAAAAAGGCTTGCAAGGGCTCCTTGTGAGAGCATTCTGTAACAAGGCGTGTTTCTGACAAGGGAAGGGGAAAAGGAACTAAATGACTTCCCCTCTTCACCTAAATACACACAGGGTAATTGCTACTTTTTCCAGATCGGGTCAAAAATCAAGTCTCTTTTATTTCCTAAAATAACAACCTTCTGAGGCAAAAGAGATGTTATTTGGAACAATGGCTCCTGCGAGTGCCAGCTGGGATTATTCTCACCTGAGCCTTGTCCCTGTGGGCAAGTGGCACAAAGCTCAGACAGCCCTTTTGGAATGCCACAGCTGAGGTCAAACAGAGAGGGGGAAAAGGTGACTTCATGCACAGGAAAGAAAAGTTATGTAGGAACTGTTTCTTACTAATTTTCACATTAGTGGAACTATCAAAAGAAAGGAGTCTGGAGGTTCTATGCCTGGGCACATAAAGAAATCCACTCAAGGTTCACTTGCATGTAGGAGGAGAGGACCTTGTGTTGGTTTATAACTGTGCAAGACCACAGACTTAAAACTTGTGTATCACTCCAGTCTGGTAGGAAACACAATTTACTAAAAAGTAACTCGCAAGAAAATAATGGATGAAAACAACCCCAAACCCCACTTTCTACCACATCACTGAAGAATAATAATGCATGTATGTGTCTCTGGGTTATGTTCCAGAAACTAAAACACATAATCTAATTCCTCCTTGAACTGGACTGGCACTGAATACGGGCATCTGAAGCTCTTGGTTTGCTTGTTGAAGGCTTCTGTGTCAGTGCAGCCCTGCACCAGGGCTGTCAATGAGCCAGCCCAGTAAACCTGAAATTTCTGGTATTGCTGGTGTATGAGTCACCTGGCTGCACTTCACACCCTCATAGATGACTAATCTGACTTAAGGGCAAGCAAACCCCAAAATTATCTGTTACCCAGGGACAGGCACAGTGTTCTGTAGTTAGGTATATTACACAGTTGAACTTGCATTTCCTAAGGATCAATTATGCTGCAAAATTTAGAAAGAAACAACAATATGCCAAGAGAAGATTGGGGTATTTTAGCACATCCTCTTAACCTACAGTGTTTATGCATCTGCTCTATAAATTATAATAAGTCATAAAAACAAACTAGAAAGAAAATGTTAACAGAGATTCTCATCTACTTGAAGGTGTCTAACACTGCTGGCTAGGAGGGCATAAAAGCATTTGCAAGTAAGAAGAAACAAAGCTGCCTTTAACAATGTAAAAATGAATCCTTCAAGTCTTTATGCCACGCCTGCAGACCGAGCTAGCTAACTAAATCCAAAATGCTCTTCATTGACAACAAGTGTCTTCCCCACTATGCTGTTTCCTCTGCAGTACCAGGGACTTCAGGGCTTTTAAATACAAATGAAATTATTAAGTACTTGCTGTTCTTTAGTCTTACTTTCGATGATTCCAAAAATGGTGATTCTACAAAAGATGTAGAAGACCCACATGTAAAATTAGAGAAAAGAGATGGACAGAGAG